TGTTGTTGCTTTGTTACTTCTTTTCTGCTGGAGCTCCGCTTCTTCGAGAGTGAGTGTGCGCGCCGAGTCCTTGGTGGACACAGGGACTAGCAAAGCTACGCAACCTGACAGGACGCGGAGTCTCGTCAACTCCGTGTACCTGCGCATCTTGCGTGATTCGAAGTCCTTGTGCCCCTCCCCTGAACCCCTCTGTGATCAATGTTTGCCTGTGTTTGTCTGTGCGTTTGTGTGTGTGTGTGTGTGTTTGTGATGTCTGTCTGTGCCAAAGGGTTCTGCTTTGCCATCATATGGTAACAAGTGTCGTTGCTGGCAAACTGCTCAGCTAGGCCCCTCCACTCAGGATGCCTTGGAATGGCCATGGGATGCCTCCATTTCCCCAACGTTACTCGATCAAGTGGTTCTGTCAGGAGATCTACACACGCTGTTTATTGTTTAGGCCGCTTTACGAGCAAGCACAGCAGGAAACATGTTGAAGGGTTTGCCCCCGTGTGCTCCAAGATGTGGGTGAGGGGATTTACCTGAGACCTTCGGTTCCTGTGTGAGGTGTAGGACCACCCAGTTTGCTCCAGCAGCCTGCCTATTGTAGTCGTTCTTTCTTTTTTTTTGCGGAGGTTGCCAATCCGAAAACGCCAAGAAGTACGGGAACAGCTATACATATATATGTTTATGATATATGATATTTTATTGTATTTAATTATAATATTATATATACATACATATATACATATGATATTTTATATGTACCTGGAGCGCATTTCTCCCGAAGCCCTTCGCGGGTGAACGTTTCAGATGAAGAGCTGCTGCGGCTCTTCGCGGAGCATCGGGCTGCCCAGCGCCAGGAGATCAAAAAGTCGAAGCTGTGCCCAAGAATCCGAAGATGTCTTTTGACCAACGTTGTTCACTCGGAGTCTTTCCCAACCTCTGTGATATTCTGTGATACAAGGGAGTCCCATATAAAGTAATTTGGTGCAAATTTTAACAGGGGGCGCTTGGGCGGACACCTTTGAGGTGGGGACTTATGTCTACCACTTTTGAGGTGGTCCTTGTCAAATGTCACGGCCAAATGATTGTGTCGTTTGCGTGACAGTGACGCCCCTTTCTCGCCACGAGATGTTCTACTGTTGTCTTTAAGCCTACCTTTGATGGCTTCAAGGGCTATCAAAGCCCTCTGAGTTTTTTGTGGAGGTTCCCCGACTTTGGCACACTGCAGCCACACCCAAAGATGGGCCCCCTGAATGGCTTTGGTTTTGCTTTTGGCTTCCCTTTTAAAGCCACAAACAAGGGGGGCGCCCTCGAAAAGACACCCAAATGTTGCCAAGACAAAAGGGAACTAAATATTTAAGTCTTTGTTGGGGAAGCCGAGAGGTGATCGCGTCAAGTTTCCATGTTTGTGTTATTGTTGTTTTGTCCTTGGGCAGAAAAGCGCCCTTTTGGCTTTCCTTCTGTGCACTGGCATGTCTTGCTCGGTTCTTAGCATTCATTTGTTGCTCTCCTAGGCCCGTGTGTTATTCAGCTTGAGGAATCTGTGTTCGTTACTCTCTCTGTCGGTCAGTGAAATAATGTGCTTGTGGGTGAGGTGTGTGTATGTGCAGAAGCTTTGTAAGCTTGGTGATATGTCGTACATGCATGTTTTTTTCCCGCTGTGTGTTTTTCATGTTTGTGCCCATCATACATAATATGGTTTGCAGCTGTTGGCAAGGGTTCAATCCACATGACTTCAGTTGTCATCATCACTGATCCATCTAAAACATGGATACTGCAACGGCAACTGCTTGATCACCACGGCAGGGTATTGATTGCCACGTGGGTACTGTCCATCGGTGCGGCTTTCCTCCAGTGTGATCAACCAACGAGAATTCCTGTCTCGGCTCATTCTTGCTAAGCTGGCTACAACCGCCGTGTTTTGCAGGGTCACCGACAAGCCACGGGCGTTTTCCTGCTAAAAAAGGGCCAGCGTGCAATTCACCCAGAAATGGCGGCAGATCAAACAATGAGACGAGTGCTGACCCAAGACACCAGCTTGGCCTTGGCAGCGCATTGCAAGGAGCGCACGCCAGACAAGGAGGCCCGGCGCAAGTTGGCTACGAGTCAGGGGTCGTCGCATCCATCTTGGAGTCAACATTGGACGATACTACTGGTCTTTTGGGTGGCTACTCTTCATGTCAGGTCTGTTTAAATCCTTCCTAGTAGAGGTTCCCAGCAAAAAAGGTCCTGCAGGTACCCCAAGTCTCTCTCGGTGGCGCTTTGGGGGGATCTTAGAATCTTCATGTCTTTTTGGGTTTGTTTTCTTCTGGCCTCTCAAGAATCTGAATGTTTGACTGGTTCCATAGCCCGGACATTTTCCGGTGACACGATCGCTCCAACAGGACCCGAAGGAGGCGAGCGAGGCCGAAGGGAGCTGTGAAGGGCAACGCCCGAGAGAACTTGTGAGGTTGAACCGAAACAAGTTGCACCTGCACCTGGCGTCTTTGCGTTTTGTCTTCTTCTTTTTCAGCCAGGGAAGGCAAACCCTGCAATTGCTTTGAAAAAGAGCGGAGAAGTGAGCGGGCCCTTTATCCGTTTATCGAATTGATACGCAACAAGGAAGTGTTTGGAACCTCTAAGCCTCTATCGTTTCAACTGTGCTTGGAGAGTCAAGAAGCATTGCGTGCCTCAGGGTTGGGATGCTTTGAGAGCAACGTGCAGCGCAGCACGGCACGGAAGGCTGTTTTGTTCGCTATTGGTGGAAGCCCTCAATCTGGCTCAGCATAAGCCCAGTTGGTGTCGGACATGTACTTGTACTTTCCGTATTTGGAGTTGGGTACCCCAAACCTGCAACAGACTAAAGTATGGCACATTGGGAGGTACCTTTGCATGTTCGAGCTCCCCTTCGCCCCTCGAAAGCATTGTTTTTGTTGCAAGTCATTTCCGGGAAGGATATTCCGAGCCTTCAGGAAGCCTCGGCTGAGGATGGTGCACATGTGGTCGGGATACTGGTTCACTTCGGGGCACGTGCTGTATGAGGATTTCTGGTTCAGCATCCGATTTGGCAAATCACTCCAGCAACGTTTGGTCAGGGATTCCGAGCCATTTCTTTGAATTTGAAGCCTTCAAAAGTACACAAGATCGTTTCACTGGAAAACCAGCAGTACATACAATCAACTTTGGGGAACTCCAGTGACACCCAGTGACCCTGGTCCATTTCCCTTTGTAGCACCTCCAAAAGTGGCGATCGTTTCAATGGAAAAGCCAGTGAATTGATCAACTTTTGATTTTGGGAAACCCAGTGACCCTGTGGGTTTTTTCCCGGTTTCCTCAGGCAACTGGCAGTTTCCAAGCGACACAGGCGATCAGCACCTCAGCCTCGGATGGCGCGCGCACGCCACCGCCACCGCCAGGAGCTGGCAGGGGGAAATCGAACCAATCGCGGTGTGCTGCTTGTGTTTTGGTTTATCAGGTGATGTTGACCAACCATTCTTCAACCCCTGTTTATCGGGGGGGGGGGGGGTGTCCCCGGGTTTAGTGGGGGTTGATTAATATGGGGTCAACATTAACCCCATGCTGCTGGTTTGGAGCCCGGTGTTTTGGATTTGGATTTGGATTTGAAGTTGTGGTTCTTGTACGGGGTAAACGGGAAAGTGACCCTAACCACCAAACCACTGGGCTCCGAACCACTAATCAGAATGAAGCTGAGTTTAGAATGGTTATTCTTGATTGTTCAGTGGTTGGTTGAGCGAGCTGGGCGGCCAGGAGAGCCATTTGAGCAGGCAACCTGCAGCTTATTGCAACATGCGGGGTTGCACGTATGTGCAGAAACACGGCAACACAATATAGCCGTGTCCCAAAATAGGGAACCCCCCTCTCACGTGTGCATCGACGCATGCCGACGACCATCTGCTAACCATCGCAGGAAGCCCACGGCCTCCGAAAGCGCTTTCCCTGGTGTCGGCCTTCGGGGTCGAAGGCGGCCTTGGGAATGCGGAAGCCAACGTCGAAGCATTGGCCGAGGTGCTTTTGGCTTGGTCTTCGATTGTGAGCCTGCGCGATTGCGCGTTGGGTGCTGCGATCATGGTGGCGGATGCTCGTACAAATTCGTTCATTCTGTGTAATTAGACGCTGGAATCAGCAGCCCAGCGGAGTGGAACAAACAAGCTGCCATTTGTCTGTGTGGATCGTGGCCTTGCCAACCTCTAGCCTTCAGCAGCAAAATGTGTTGGTAAGCCATTGGCTGATGATTCTGAGCAGCTAGAATTTGGTGTGTTCTTTGTACACGCCATTTGCAACTGCAAAATGTGGCCTCGCGTCAGGCTGCGCCGATGGCTGTTGCTCACCTCCGGAAGGCCTTGCCCTCTTGCGGACGTCGGCCCCAGTTGGAGTGTCGAAACGGCAGTCAGTTGATTCTCTCAGAGGTTGGCTTGGCATGGCAAGAAGGCTGCCAGGTTTGCTTTTTAGGATTCACCAGGTTTCTGGGGTGTCACACGGGCCAGTCGGGCCAGTCGGGTTTGTTGACAGTTTGATACTGCGGACATCGGACAGAGTATGTGTTGCTGCAGCTTCCACAGGCCATGCTTCAGGATTCTATGAGTGTCTTTGGTGTATAGGAATTGCCTTGATTGCTATTGAGTTGGATCTTTAGACTTCAACTTTTTGGGACATGTAGTATGATCTGTGTTTTGGTGTCATTCTCGCTACAGGCCGCGCCGGCATGGGTTGCAATTAGGTCGTTTGTCCTTGGCCTATTGCGGCATGTTGCCACTGTGGTGCCACTGTGTTGCCACTGCGGTGCCAATGTGTTGCCACTGTGTTGCCACTGCATGTCTCGGCAGCTACGGGTGACCAGGCATGGAGTTTTATCTCGGGTTTTCCTTGCTTGAATGTCACGTTGATTTCCCAAGCTCGAGTGAGCAGAGACCCAAACAGAGAAATGCCCGACACCTCGGTGCTTTCGCTCTCAGCGAGGTCCTACGGAGATCGCCTACGGTGAGGCACAGAGGGTGGCATGCCATGATGGCGCTTGAGAGAGGAGTGGAGTGAAGTCTGTTGGCAGCAAATTAGCCTGGGTTTGATATGGTTTGATGAGATGAAGCACACATTGATTTGGTGCTTGAAACATGTGTTGCCGAAGAAGGTGTGATTGCCATGCGTCATATCAGCCCGCAAGAAGACGAGAGTGGTGGAAGCTTCCCCTGTTTGCCATCATGTTGAATTCATGGTGTGTCGATCAAACTTGCCCTTTGAAGCTTCACCGCTATTCGGCTTTGGTGAGCAGCGGACTAGCTTGCTTGCTTTATTCATGCCAAACTTTACTTGCTCTTGCTGTATGTACTCTGGGCAGTCATTACTGTGACGGACTGATATGGATGTCATGTAAGTGCACGTGACGTGGCTTTCATCTGCTGCGAGATGTATGCTATGCCAGATCATGTGAACAGTTGACACCTGGAAAGGAGGTACGCAAGGCTTTGTTGTCAACCTTGCCTCAGGACAGCGAGAGGGGCGAAAGCAGATCTGGCCCGGAGCATAGCATGAGCACTATCCTTGCCACGCTCGCCTCGCTGGTTTGGCTAAAAACCGCGAGCCGAGGCTTCACGCCCTCCCCCTGCAAGCTGCCGTCCTTGGCGCCCTCACCGCCGGCACCGCCCCCGCGCCTGGGACGTGAAGATGGAGGTCGTGTTTTTTTCCTGAACCATGCAGGCGACGCTTCGATGGTTTTTTGATGCTTCCCGTGTTCCTAGTGTTGACTGCATTGGAAGACTTCGATCTTCGATTCGCGCCGCAGTGTGAGTTGCTATTCGTCACTTCGGTTGTTCTGCCAGGTGCCACAAGCTCAAGCATACACATTGAAGAAGTACACGACAGCAGAACAGTGAGACAAAGTGAGAATGGTTCATGGCATCCATCCAATAATTATTGTGAAATTCACCCAAACAAGTCTGCCAAGCGAAAACTGAGCCCTTTGCTTCCTCAGAACTACAGTAGCATGGATCAAGGCCACGTGTTTCTACGAGGGCCTGCAAACACATCGTTTCCAGATTGCTCGCAAACGCAATTGACAGGATGTTAAATAATCTGAGGTATCAGTCACATATTCCCTGGGCATTGATTTTACCCAATCTATGCAATCAGGGTCCGACATCATGGGTACATTCCAGGAGTTCCCCATGGGGTCCGAGCTTCATGACGGTTGATCCTTCAGAACCAAACTGCAATACCCGTCGGCACCTGGAGCCCTTTTACAACCATGGCGCTGAGTCCACTTACTGAGCCACAATCAAAACCCGGGTAGATGAAGGTTAGTAAGGGGCGATCCCAGCCACAAATAGCTGCGGCCGCCTTCTTAATCCTGTACATGGTTCTGGGTAGACCATTTTAGTACCAGGTTTTGATTGCGACTCTACTGTGGTAAGAAGTTGTGCTGTCATCCTGCATGTCAGCCCTTTGCCGAGCCTAAATGAACCCCAAACAAACCCAAGACCCGCCCTCATTCAGACCTCACCAAGCCCAACACTCACCCCAAACCAGCCCCGAGCAACCCTGAACTGCCACCAAATCAAAGCCAATAGGCAGCTCTCGTCCGAGTGAGGCCAGTAATGCTGGCGATGCGGCCACCAACCCCCAGCCAACGTCTTGGGAGGGAGGCCTTGCGCCGAGCCGGGGCCAGTAACAAAAAAGCCGGGGCTATTAAAAAAAACACCTGAACCCAACAATTGTCGGATATTCGAATGTCCGTTCTTGACGCCCGTGCCCGAGGCCGCCGCCTCCGGTGAGAAGCGTGACGCGCCTGCCGCCGCTATGAGCTGACGGTTTCGTGTTGAGAAGCCTTCTGGTTTCCCATGCTGTACGTGTTCATACGTGTTCGTGCTTGTGTTGCTACTAGAGTTGAGGCTTCCGGGTGAGTCCTCAGAACACACACTGAGAACACCAACAACATCATGTTTCTACAATGCTTTTAGGCAGGCATGATTTGCTCATCGAAGGTAGAGATGGAACATGGTGCCAAATCCAATGCATCACTGTGCGTTCCCTGGAGAAGAGATACAAAGATGTATCCGAGGTTTCCACTCCTCCTCAAATGGGGTCGCCCTCTTTGCCACAAGGGTTCGCAAGAACGCATGCATCGATATTCATGAGCATTCACCATTTGGTTTCTAGACATGTCTTGCAGACTCTCGCAGCACTCGCTTTCTGCTTTGTGTCACCCACGTTTCACAACCGCAAGACTGAAAAACCAGAGACTTGCGAAGAACCAGCGCTGGCTGGGGCAGGCTCGGACATAAGTTGTGTCTTTCAAACGTATCAGGGGATTCGTGCTTCTGATTGGCGGTTCGAGAAAAATGTGTTTATCAAAAGCCTCCCCAATCTGAGGCACAGCATCACGCAACTCCGGTGACGGCCTGGCACGGCCAAACCGAATTCAAGTTGCAAAAGCTCCAAAAAGGTTGCCACGGTTCCTTGCTATTGTGCCATGTTGTTTGAGATGTTGTGGGCATACCCCAACCGGCATGAAAGGATTTGGTGGTTGAAAGCTGCATTGTGATGCCTTGCACACTTTCCAGGGTACTTGTTTTTAAGGCTGTGTTAACACATCCGGGTTGCCTTTGTGATTGTGGTGTTTTTTGGGTTGTCCTTCCATCCCATCGAAAAAGGGAACTATCATGTGGGTCGGAGAAAAGAACGTGTCTTTTCATGACGTAAGGGCAACGAAACTGAGGAAGTGAAACGATCCCGTCGAAGCTATGAAAACTTGCGACTTTCGAGCCGGAGCTTCCAAAGTGTAATGCATACTTTATACACTTCCTGAAATGTTGCGACGTAGCAAGAACTGCCTTGCCCTCAGCGAAGCGAGCGCAAATCGAGCCAGCCCAAAATGTGGGATGGCGAATGTGGTCAGGAAAATGTCTGGCCCCAAGTAGGCGAACCTCTGGGGACTTTCGCATAGCACGGGAGCCAACCTCAAAAGTGCGGCCAACACCCTTTGATAGTTTAGTTGCCCTGCGCACCTATTGTTTTTTTTTTGTTGTGTGTGTTTTTTTCATTCGCAAAGGGCAACCCAAGATGTGTTTTCACGGTGGCCTCACAGGTGGACAAAGAAGTGCAGAGGATCCGAGCTGAAAGGACCTGGATTGATTTGGATTTTGCAGCTTGATGCAGCTCTACGCATGGAGCCCCGAAGGGGCTGCCACTGTAAGGAAAATGGTGGCGCTCTGCAGATTTGGCCGTGTTGCCAAAGCGCATTTCTTGTGGCCCAGGTGAGGCTATCGGCTGCGCAAGGACCCCAAAACTGTCAACTAGTCCAAAGCCTATGAAGGTCCAAGAACAAAGATGTTGGTGTTAAACATCAGCTGAAAATGCGTGTGATGTTTGTGAGCCTCTCGACTCTGCAAGTTGTGGGTAGGGTAGTTCCATGATGCTATCCAGCAGCCAAACACATCATGCCAGCAACTTTTGTCAGACACCCGTTGGCTACCCATCATAATTATTTGTTTGTACGTTGTCGCAGTTTTTGGGTGTGCGTGTGTGAGAGGTGTTGAGTGTGGATCGCACTGCACTCCGTTTTGTTCGGGCACCGGCGGGTGCATGCACCGAGTCTTGTATTTCTTGTGCCTCACATCATGTCCACTAGAGCCAAAGCGTACAATTGCGTCCAAGACAGATCCAGCAGACATGACATCATGGACTTGAGGTCTCTTGGAGGTCCCACGCCTTGAAAGGCTGTGTTCATGTTCAACTTACTTCTTGGCGTCGTCACTGCACTCCCGCCCATGTCTGGGGCCCTAGAAGATTATGTCATTGGGGAGGTCGCGGGGGCCCACCCAAATTCTTCCCAAAGTGCTCCCAATTGTCCGATGTTTTGTATTGACTGATATTGACTGTGGCTCATGTGAGATTGACCTTGCCTCAAGCGCCGGCAATTATGCGACTGGTGAGCACTCCAAACGATCACACTATGCATAGGGTCTAAGGCCCTCCCTTTTTGACTTTTCCAGGGGCCATGAGCGCCCAGCGGAGCATGGTGAGCGCCTGGGACAGCACTTGGCCGAGCTTGGAGACTGCGGTGCTGCACCCAAGCTTACATTTGCCCAAACCAGCGATTCGCAAGATGTGTAGGTCGTGGAAAAATTGGAGCCCTTCCGTGGGCCATCAACTGGGTCGCAGGTCAGCGGCGATGGAAGCTAGGGCATTTCAGGGGCGAAAGTGTGTTGAAAGCGGCGTTGGAATGTCTCCGGCATTGCTTGCTGAACATCTGACGGTTCCACATGCTTCTATGATTATTGAGGCTCGGGCAGAGCCACGAGAGGGCAAGCAGCAATGCTGTGACAAGCAACAACCCCGGGAGTGTGTCTTGACTGGGGACCTTCAAAGTTGGCAAAGAGAACAGACAGTAACCTGGTTGAGGGGTTTGACACAGACCCAGATGAAGGCTGGCGCCTAAACGGCCATACTCCAGGTTGGGCATTTGTTCTGATCCGAGGGCTTTGGACAGTGTGCTTGGATGGCACTCACGCTTGATGCAGGGGTTTTTTGTTGAACTGGCAGCCTTCCTGATATGCACAAGGAGCTAGAATTTCTGCTAGAATATGCTCGGTAGAAGAAGCGGGCATCATTTGTGTGTGTGTGTAGTGAATTGAAATAGTGTCTTCCACATGCAACTGCCTTCGGAGCACCATGTCCGAACACGACATCGTGCTACGTAGGATTTTGGGGGATGGAACGTGTGGAAACACCAGGAAGTCTCAGCTGAAGAAGAGGGGCTTTGGACACCACAGGCAGCCTTTCGACTGCTTGCCACCATGCTTGCATCAAGCGCGAGTGCCATCATGTTGCCACCATGCATGCAGGCGCAGGTGCCACGGAAAGCGTGCGCTCATCATGCTGCCGCCTTCTATGCATCAAGTGTGAGTGCTACGGAGCGCGCGCTTGCTCAAAACCCTGAATGACAGAGGGTGTCCGCCTTGCCCCGCGCACTCAATCATCAGTAGGATTTAGGATACATTTTGTCATTTTACCAGTGACTCAACGGGACGCAACAATAGAATATACATTCTAGAACTGGATCTCAGTCTAATCATGGATTGCTGTTGAGTTGGTGGTTGACCCCACCCAAGCATGTGTTTGGGCTCATTTGCATTTTGGTCCCAGGCACCAGCCGCGATGGCCAGATTGTCTCAGACAATCCTTGGGGCCCGGGCGGCAGCCTCACAAACTTCTCGGCGCCTACGAACTATGACGGCGCGGGACCGGTGGGGAGTGCGAGAAGGAAGAAACGTGTCTCAGACTTCTTGCATAGCTCAGGTTATTTGTCCCATCCGGCATCATGATGGATTTGTTGCGAGGATGGAGAACAAATGGAAATGGGTTTGCAGTGTTTGCGTACCGTGAAGTTTCAACAATTCTGTGTGAGCATTTGCGGAGAACAAACTCCTCCAGCACAGCAACTTGACTCTTGAGTCCAAGCTGCATGTGCTCAAGCAGCGTCATGTGCTTAAAGATCCCCTGATCTTTGCAAACACTGCTTCCTGATTGGTTGTGAGAGTAAGGTGTTCCCAGGCCAAGAGTCATCATAGGACACACGGAAGCGCAGTGAAGGGCCGCGGCAGAAGAGCTCGGCGGCCAGATGAGCACAGGCTTCCACTTGCTTGAGAGTTTGTTGTTTTTTGTTTTCCCCTGTCGGTTTTCAAAGGAATCTATCACTACTGGAAATATATATATATATATGTATTGTTTGTTTCCCGGGGGCGAACAATAGAGTAGGCTGCATTGCTTCGTGTGTCAGAGCTCATGGTCCAATTGAGGCAGGGAATGCTTGTACCGTGCCCTTCATTCGCCTCCACTTCCCCAAGCAATGTGAAGTGCAGGGGACAGACAAGAACGCAGATGATTCCTCCAAGGTCGTACTTGATGTTGGTGATTTTTGCTTTGCCCCTTGAGCATTCTTTCGAAAGGTGACAGTTCCCCAACAAACAGATTTTGGTTTCTTGTTTGCAAGGTGAAAGACAACCCCAAGAACGATTTTGGACGGTTTTGGCCGACAGCCAAAGTCAGCCGCTCGCCAGGTCTGACAAAGGCTCGCACAGGTTTGTCGGGAGCGGACACCTGCCGAATGTTAAAGACATGGAACCTTTGAGGGCCCTTTGTTAAGTGGTTTGTCATGGTTTGCCGTCATGAACTTGCTACGTTTTGCATAAGCGTGTGTCTATGAATGTCACCAAGGCGATTGTTGTCATTGCGAAATTGGCCATCATGTTTGCCTGGCCAATTTGGGTGTGCTGGCAAGTGTTGATCGTCGGTGAGTGTAGTGACTGGCTTGCCATTCCAGCACAGTGTCGTACGGCAAGGCGGTTGAAATGACAGGTATGGCGAGATTTTGCAATTTATGATTGGAGGACAAACAAGTTCGGAGCAGAACACATGTGAATCTACACATTGTGTTTGCGACATGATTAAACACGTGCTCAACTGCGCTGTGGGTCACGCCTATCAGCCGATGCCCTCCATTTGCCCCTAAATGGACTGAAGGCAAACCTTGAACGATCGGAGCGACCAGGTTTTTGCTTTGCTCACACCGTAGGATTGGGATTATGTTGGAAGCTCTGGGCCTTGGGCTGTCGCATGCTGTGCCTTTCCAGGTTCGGGTTGAGGTGGATGGGACCGAGGAGGAGGTGATTCTGGACGATGCCCGCGGCCCCATGGTCATGGAGCCAGACGGCAGCGCCAAAGCAGCAGTGAGCTACGGCCGTCGGTGTGTTCTTCTGATAAGGTCTTGGATGCGTCCTGGTTCCTGGATTTGAGCCTGGTGCATTCGTAGTTTTTGTTTGCAGAGCGGCGATTGAAATCAAATTGGCATGGCAGCCAGTCGGGGTTTAGTCATTTGGGCACACGCCACACCTGCGAGCGTGTTTGGTCTCGCGAGTGAACTTGTGCTTGCGTGCGATGGGTATCTGGTGCCACCAAGTATGTCCATTTGAGGGGGCAACATCAGAGAACACGGTTGACAGGCATGGCAAGGCATGAGTCCAGTTTGTTTCATTTACAGCTACCATGATATGCATGCAACGATTCTCATGTACATGAGTGTTGGGCAGAGTTGTAAATGTGCTCTTATCCGGCATGCGCTTCAATTTGCAGAGCATGGCAGGTGTCACAAATGCGAGTGCAGAAAAGCTTGCTTGCTTGCTTGCTTGCTTGCTTGCTTGCTTGCTTGCTTGCTTGCTTGCTTGCTTGCTTGCTTGCTTGCTTGCTTGGTTGCTTGGTTGCTTGGTTGCTTGGTTGCTTGGTTGCTTGGTTGCTTGGTTGGTTGCTTGGTTGCTTGGTTGCTTGGTTGCTTGGTTGCATGTTTGTCATTTTGCATGCACATGTGCATCTCTCTTGTACACAAACAACACGCAGGCGTGCACAACAGCATGATTATCAGCAGATGCGCACAAGAGTATGCCCAGATCCATGCCAGCGTTTTACATGTTGGTATGGACACGGAGACGCGGGATGTCTGCTTGACTCAGCTGTGGTGATTGGAACTGGGCCAAGAACCCTTCTTTCTGTGAGGAGGTTCACGCCTGGATGAACATTTGAACATGTGGGACCCCAGCACCCGTTCGAGCACTGAGCTCCGTTCTCCAATCGCACCTTTCCCTTGTTTTCCTCCGCAGCGGGGTGGTTAGACCCGTCAGGTGTTTTGGTTCCAATTATTTCGCCGGAAATGATCAACCCAAGAATACAGCTCATTTTCCAAATGAAAAACCATTGAGCAGCCACGTGTGCGCTTAGGTCGCGTCTTCGCCATGCTGAACTACCCCCAAGCGGAGCACAACGGCCGATACACTACTCGGGTGCCGCCATCCGTTTGGACACTGTTTGAGGGATTAAGGGCCTGGGTCGGTTGGTTGGTCGGCTAGACCCACCCTAAGCCACCCTAAAACCCTAAACCCACCCTAAACCAATTCCAGGCCAGCTCTAAACCAACCCTATTATACTCATCCAGCCCAAATCTCTCCCAATTGCACTACCCTAAACCCACAGTAAACCAGCCCCCAGCCACGCACCACCAACCCGACCCTAAACCTTTTTGTTTAAAGAAACCCAAACCCCGCCGACACCCACCCCAGACAAACATTGAGCCCAACCAAACTCAAGCGGGTGTTGAATGCGATGCTGGGGCTGTCAAAAACGATGCTGGGGATGTCCACGGCGAATAGAACATACTGCAAAATACAGCATTCGTGTGCTTGCCTGGAAAAGAAGGAAGAAACACATTGCGCCAGGATCAAGCCTATAGGAGTCGTCATCCTGTGCCAGGTGGAAAAGACTTGGACCTACCTGACCTCTACTGAGAGGACTGCCGGAGCCCAAAGATTAAGGCTGTAAGCCATCCACAGGCTCAGAGGAACCTGGGATCGATCCATTCAGTAGCTGCCAGTTTGCCTCTTCCCAAGATTCCGCAGGATGTTTGTATGGTTTGCTCATGCCTTGGCACCCAGCGGATGCCAGCTGAATTGCAAGGCTCCCATGCTTCGCGACACAACGATCATACCCAAAGATACCTTTCGGCTGGGATGTTTGCTTAGATGCTTGCGCTGGAGCGGCTGTACTTGGGTCATACTGTAGAGGGAAGAAATCCTGCACCAGTTTGAAACCAAGGAATAGCATTGTTGGTTGGTATTTACAGGGGAAACATCAGACACCAGGGTTTCTTAGGTGGCGCAGGATGTCGTCCATCCGTAGTACTTGCATTCCAGGCCTGCTGAGTGTGGTTGGGACCACCTGCGTTTGTTCCTTCAGTTGTCCAGTGCAATGGCACCCCTGCGCATTCAAGAACCGCTGGCTGCCCATCAAAATCACTGGCAAAAAGGGGCGATGGTTTCCTCACAAAAAAAAAAATGGAAAAGGAAGTAATTGATTTGTTTCCCTCTCCTGCTCACTGGAGCTCGTGGGGTAGAAGTTTTCAGCCCTTCCCAGGTGTTCCTGCACATGGCAAAGGCCTCAGAGTGTCGAAAGACTGACCGGATCAACGGGCCTTGACGGATTCGCTCCAAAAGTGGAGGCCGCTCTTTGACAGCGGTGGAGTTGTCCTTAAAACGTCAAATGGCAAAGCCCGAAAGCTAAGGTTAGAGCCAAATTCGGAAAAAATCCGGATGGATCTTGCAAAGCTAGTTGGATCTTGTTTTTGGGCACCCCAAAAATGGTGGTTGTCCTTTTGGTTTCCCTTTTAAACCAACCCCTTAAATGGGTACGCTCAAGAAACAGACGAAGCAACCCATTTGACTTCTGGCCTCTTTGTCGCCTTTAGGTCGCCAAGAAGAATCGCCGCCTGAGGGACGGGCTGGGGACGAGGTAGCAGTGTAAAAACAAAGGATAGACGCATGTCAATGTGTCTCCGGAACCCCTTGTTGGATGGCTTTTAGGGACACCAAGCGGTTGCAGACTTTAGGCCCCTGGACCCGCCATTTTTCTGGGTGAGATTTGACCATTCTACAGGTTTCCGAGCCATTTCCCTCTTTGGAAGCTCCAAGTGGCGATTGCAATGGAAACCTTGAGCCCCAGGGCTGTACGGATGCACAAAAACCACGGCTTCGTACCTTTGGCGTGGAAAGGACTGGTCTTCACAGCCCACCAGTAAGTTGCATCCTTTGAAGGGGAACTCCAGTGACCCCTACTGAAATCCATGGAAAATCCATGGAAAAACAGGATACATGGTGTGAAGGGGAAGTCCACACCAATGGCTCTGTTGACTCGTCAGAGGAGCTGAAGGAAGAGAAGCTGCCGCGCCCTGCGCCGGCTCCACATCCAGGAGCTACGCGGCTGCGCCTCGGCAGCCGGCTGGACCCCCAAAATGGCTTCGGTGTCCCTGTTGGTTTCCCTTAAACAACCACCAACACATGGGTGCCATGTTGGTTCAATCTCTGAGTTAGTATGTACTTTGGTCCGGGAGTTCAGAAATGGGGAAAGAGCCTTGTTTTGTTCCATCCTGGCTTCGCATCCAGATTTCCCAAGCAAGCAAGCAAAGACAGAGGACTCTTGTTTGTTGCCTATGGTTGGAGAGGGCAGCATGCTCCACTTTGCTCCTGCAAGAGCTGTGGATTGACTCGGGGTATTGATGAACTTAGCTCCGCTCATTGCGTGCGTCGTCGCTCTTTCTTGTTGCAGCCAATCAGATTGCTCTTGCTCTTTCTTCTGACCTCCTTGACTCAAGCCAAGGAGTGCATTCTACAAGCTTCTGGGCAGAACAAACGAGCCCCCGGTGTGAAAAGGGCGTCAGGAGCGAGGTACACCGCAGGATTTGGTGGATGCAATTGTCACCCCAACTGCAATATACTTGGTGGTTTCCAGCCATCTCCTTAGGTTTTTAGCTTTTTCGTGTTGCGTGGGGATGTCAATTTACCTAACTAAAAATTAACCGTTTTGCGGGGGATCTGAGGAGTATAAGATTTCATGATACTTTATGACACGAAAGGGTTGATCTCCTCTCTTGACCTCCTTGGGATGGCAAACCAGCACGGCATCAGATCCTGGAAAAGACTCCTATGTCCTTGAAACTGCCGAGATGCTCTCTGTGACAGGCATTCCTCACTTCCACCTGGACTCGCGACTTGATCCCCATAGCTCAAACAGGTACGTTTGGTTCCCTACACATGCCAAGGAAAGCAATGGCCACGGATGGTAACTTACGGCGTAGTTTCGAGCCACCGCAGCAATTCCACGCTCGAGCTTGCACTTAGAGCTTCAGCAGGGCTACACAGACTCAGACCTATTGGCAAGGCCTCACTTCTCTGACCTTTTGCTTGTGCCTTTCCCTTTGCGACCATTTTGCTGGGCCTTGACTGAAGCCATGGGTGGTGCACAGTCAGAGGACGGAGCTTTGCTGAGCCGGAGCCTGCTTGGCTGCAGTGAAAACATAGGTGCTTCTGAAAATACAGAACAATGAAACGGTAATGCTTCACTTTGGCTTCCCTCAAAAGGGTCCCTATTTTTGAGGACAGCCCTTGCATGGTTGGCTATGTTGCCTTGAATATTTGTTGCCTGGTGCGGCAGGGGTACCAATTCGCCAGGAACAGGAATTCGCAGTTGTGCTTTGGCAGAAGCAAGGATTCGTGGTACGTGGTAGATCATAGTTGCAACGGGGTGTACCAACGGAACTGGAACAGGCATTGGGGCATTGTTCAAGGGCTGACCTCAACGTAGCTGCGCTGCCCGGCAAGGCCTTGTTCTCTTCTTGACAAGGGTCATGTCGCACCTTTTGTTCGCCTTCAAAAGTCCAAACAGTTTGGCCATGTTTTTGACAATTTGACAGCCCACCCGCATGGTACCCAGACAGTAAAGAGGGCCACCCTTTCAGGGTGGCGCATCTCGCGCGCAGCTCGCGCCAGGAAGCCCAGGGCTCGCCCGGCGAAGCGCCGGCGGAACTGCCAAGTGGCCACGGACTTAGCCCGAACATGGGCTGGAGCTGGGGAAGGAGGTGGAGCTGAGGTGAAAACTAGGGACCTCTTTCTTTTTGGCCCAAGGACGGGTGTGGTTTTGACACCAAGTTGAGCCGCTTTCTTCTGGTTATTTGGGGTTTGGTGCGTGGTGCTGAAAAGGGGGACTCGAACTTGAAACTGCAGCCACCCGCGTAGAATCAATGTTTCCCATAGTTGCTTTGCTGCAGGCAGTCCCAACCCTTGACCGACAAGAACCATTTGGTTTGGCACATAGCCCCGAGGAGTTATTGGGGAGCTGCCGCATGTTTGCTCCCAGCTGTTCACACAACTCCCATTCGCAGATCCCGGGGAGCTAAGGGAAGACGACATCTCGTAACGCTTGGGAACTGCCGGAGGGAGCAGCGAAATGTGTGAGTGCGAGTGAAAGGAGTTTGAGTTTCCTATCATTTGCACTCAATGCTTTTAGGTGCAGACATGTGCAGACCTCATTCCCGAATTCAGGCTGCGAGGCTTTGCGATGCAGACCAGCAATGTCTGAATCGATGGACAGATTTACAAAGTTGAGAGATGATACTGTGGGGCAGCCGTTGCTGGTGGTCACAGGGACGCCGAGTCTGTCCGTGTTGTCTTAGGCGACGTCCGCCTGCAGACTTGATTCAGTACTTGTAACTACTGTGATCATAGCAGGCGATCAGGTTTTGACCCTTATGGTTTCACATTATGTGTTTCCTGATATCCTTTCATAGTGCTGAATGGAATCACTGACATATGATGAAATATCACACCTGCCACTCCACAAAAAGCTCTAAGCAATGACCTTTAGGGGAACCTTGAATACCCTTATGCTCGCGGTCGGTTTTGCCTTTGTGTCAAACTGAAATTTAATGGGTCCAGCGGCGTCGCGGTGCCTTGGAGGGGGCTGACTGGTGTTTCGTTGCGCTAAGAAACACGAAGCTCGCCCATGAAGGTCCGGCAGTGTATGACTTAGTTCGAGCCTTCACCGGTTTGCGAGGTGCGCCGGCACCGACCTCGCCCGGAGGCGGGGTGGCGGATTGGCAGTCGGCGAGTTGCGGCGAGTTGCTGTCGATGCCTGGCCAGCAGCCTTGCAACACTTGAGCCACAATCAAAACCCGGGTAGATGAAGGTTAGTAAGGGGCAGTCCCAGCCGAAAATAGTTGCGGCCGCCTTTCTAATTCTTTACATGGTTCTGGGTTCACCATTTTTGTACCAGGTTTTGATTGAGACTCACTTGGGCCTCTTTGCGCCTCAGCCGTTCAACAGGCGAAGCCAAGGAGGTGAAAGAAGTGAAGGAAGTCAAGGAAGTCAAGGAGGTCAAGGAGGTCAAGGAGGTCAAGGAGGTCAAGGAGAAGGGGAAGGGGAAGGGTGCGGAAGCCAAAGCCAAAGAGGCCAAAGAGGCCAAAGAAGCCAAGCCGAAGCCTCCACCAGGCGAGGAATGCGGGTATGGCACATGTCGAGGGGGAGGTCGGTGTAGGAATTGGGTCTCTCAAGTGTTGCAGCCGCGGATGGGCGAAACATAGGTGTTGCTGGCTTGATTCTGCTTGTTTGGAGGATGGAGGCAAGCACATGCGTGTTTCCCTTGGCGCCGATTTGCCCAAATGCGCAAAGGATTGAGCACAACTCCCGGACTAAAACATGGCATACCAGCTACACGATGCAGCATGTTTGTCAGGAGAAACTTCATTCGGGCTAAGTTGTTGCTACTTAGCTTCACCGAGGAGCAGTAGCGACAATACAGCAAGATAATGTTTAATGTGTGTTCCAAAAACTGCCCAACATATTGCAGTAGGCAGTAGACTGTGATTGCACACAAGCGTGTGTTGAGGAACAGCTTTGCTGTATATTGCTACTCGCATTCTGCGGGTCAATATGCTGTTCCAGCACACGACCCTCGTCAAAGCAGTTCATGGCGGGTGAACAGAATAAAAGCTGCCAGCTAACACAACTGAAAAACGCTCTTTTGTTCTGGCCGAAGCATTTGAGCGACGTTTTAAAACCCCTGTACTTGAAAGTAGTATTCAGGAGGAAATATTGTTTTCAAAATGTTGACTTTTCCCAGGTCGCGAAAGCGCCGCGCAAGGTTCACGGAAGGGGTTTCTCATTTATGTACTCGCGGAAGCTTCGCGGAAGGGCTACGATTCAATCACACAATTCAAGGAATTGTAGTGTTCCTTCACGTGCGGAAGCGAAAACAAGCTTCAATCCCATTTCTCAATCCGCGGAAGCGACGCGGACGCGATTCCCTCTTCAAACCTCTTGCGGAAGCAACCTTTCATGCCGCGCAAGCTCCGCAGAAGCCTTCGCGGAAGGGATTTGATATTTCTCTTCGGCCGCAGCCGGGTTTAGAACACTGCTCATTTGTATGTGTTGGTTTCCCCATGGTTTCCCCTTTCCCACCATGCCAAGAACCGGGGGGGCGAGGTGGTCGGGGACCACCTCGCCCGCCTTTGTTTCTCCTTCCGAGCCGCGAGGCGCGCAGATCTGCGTGCGGAACCTCTCCAAGGATGCCACGGAGGAGCAGCTCCGAAGCCTCTTCGAAGGCACAGTCGGTGACGGCGTGCGGGTTGGGCGTGGGTATTTTCGGGCGTAGGTCGAAATGAAACCGCCAGGGGACCGGGTTTTGTCCATGGTTCGATTTACCAGCGTTAGTTGTTGGGTGCCAATTTTGACCCACAACCATTTGAACCTGGGGACCGTTGAAGTTAGGGCGATACTTCTTATGGAGTTTGGTCTGATGGTGTGGTAGTGGTATTGCTTAGTTGGACTTGTTCTTTTTGGGTAGGGATGTTAGGGATTGGTACGCTGACAGCTTCCAAGTGTAAACCTCGAGATGCGAGCCACAATGTATTTTGGAGCTCAACCTTGCCAAACAGCCCAAACCGAGCCACCCAGCTGCAACTCGCTCAAGAGGATGGCAAGCAATACTAGAATAGCGATCATACGGCAACCTAGGCAAGCCATGTCTTGTTGATGGCTTTTCCGATGCGTTTGGCTTGTCAATTGATGTGATTGTAAGCCCTTCCAGTTCCGACTAACCATTTGTGAGCTTTTTGTCTTGCTGACGCTAGGCATTGGCAAGATCACGGACGTCTCCCTGAAGTCACTCAAGAAGCTTGCTTGCAGCTGAAGACGGACTTTGGTTTGCTGCAAGGGGTAGGTTAAGTCGCATCGGCTTGTCTAAAGTCGCATCGATTGCACGTGGCCAGTGGGGCGCGGCGCACACTGTGGCGGCGTGTGGCCAATGTGATTGCACTTCCGCAGCTGGTGTTCGAACTCAAACTTGACGACCAGAAAACTGGCGTGGCCGGTGTAAGAAGCATCCACTGTGCGCGTTGGAGTGGGGACCCGCCGAAGTAGCGTGGCCGGTAAAGAGCAAGACACCAACTGCACACTTTATGCTTGCTGCGCAGCGCACACTGTGGAGGCGCGTGGCCAATGTGATTTGCATTCCCGCGACTGGCTTCGGAACTCAACACTTGATGACCAGCAAACTGGCGTGGCCAGCGGGGAAGCACGTGAAAAGTCATCCATTTGCTTGCTGGACGTTAGCTAAAAAACCTGCTTTTACCGCGGCAAACGGCTAGTTTTGCGGCAGAGCAAGGCGTACACTGTGGAAGCGCGTAGGCAGATTGCCATCAAAAGCATGATGCATGATGTGACTTCACGCGCTCTGATGTGACCTCGCGCGTGTGCGCTTGGCCATGCAGTGATGTGACTTTAGTCGCATTGATGTGACGAAACCGACCACATGTAGAAGTTGCAGGTGTTGGACAATACAACGGCGCGTCCCTGGAAAATGTCAGATAATAACCTGTATTCAGCCTGCTTCAAAAGCTTCCCGGCCTCATCTCTCGATTCGCCTCAGTAAGATCACAATACGACGGACGTTTTGCACGACGATTACAGCAGCATGTCATGCTCAAGGCAAATCATTGCGGATCTTTCTGCAACGTCTCAGTAGTGAGCTTGACAATGTACTTTTGAACTTATGGGATTTACGGCTGTTAGCAGTATGCAGTATGGCTTGTTTCGCGAGCCGCCAACAAGCGTCAATGCCACGTTTGTGGCAACAAAGAAGTACACCTTTCACTTGGTTCACTTCAGCGCATCGTCCTCACTTCTTGCTTCAAAGAACCGATTTTAAAGCCATCGTTTTTGCATGTCGCTATCTTCGGATGCGCAGCTCATGCAAGCCACTGCAACCTGTGTTTCTCCAAGTTGTGCAGCGTTCTTCCAAGGATCCCGGTATCCCGGTATGGATTGGACACAGTGCCTCTCCCTGCGCAAAGTTTGCTCGCAGCCAGCAACAGGCTGCAACGATCCAGACTTCCAACGGCAGATGCGAGAGTCCTCCTCCGCATCCCACGGAGGAAGCTTCTCCTGAGACCCAGGCTAGGGTACCTTTCATGCATCTGCCGTATGTACAGCGAGGTTAGCTTGGGGTAAGTATAACCAGCTCATCACTGTAAAGGCCTTGTGTTGGTTTTTTGCTTGGGGATCTCTCATCTCAGGTTTTGGAATTATAGTAAAGTAAAGCTTGCACATGCACCAATCTCCGTTTTTGCTCGAGTCTGTAGCATGCGGTGAGCCAGGGCCTGGCAAAGAACCAGGTGCAGTAGGCAGATTGAAGGTGCCATGTTCTGCTGTGGTGTTTGTGAGCTCGCAGCGGGTCGCCCATGCCAACACCTTCCAACAACCAGTCGCTCTGGGGAGCGTGGCTAGGGACCAACCGAAGAACATTCAATCGGTTGAGATATTGAGATGGCTTAATGCTTCCAAGATGAGGTGAGCTTCTTCCACGGCTTACAAAACACAATTTTGTGTGAGGTAGGGCCTAATATTCGTGTTTCACACGTTTGTGGACATCTACGGTGAAATGAAAGGGCCCCGCCGAGCTTTGCAAGGAGCCTCGATCAAGCAACAACTACTAGACCCAAGCTCGGGCTTTCATTTTTATGCTACTTGTATTTCGAGAGATGCACGCCAGGTTCTGTGTTAGTTGGGGGCGGCCACAATTTGCCATGGCCTCAGGGAGGGCGTTTTCCGAAGTCCGAGGAATGGAATCTGCAAGGGCTACGGCTTCGTTACTTTTTCAACGATGGAGGAGGCAGGGATTTAGGGAGACGTCGTCTCGCTGCCCCTATGGGCCATCCTTGTAGCGTAGCTGCATATTTTGGATTGTAGATGGGCCAAAACGCAACTTGTGACTTGCACAGCTATTTAGAACCAACACTCCATAGGTTTGGTGGCCACTTACAGTGGCAGTACTGATTGAACCGCTGCAAATTCATTCGCGCTTTTCAATCAGTCATACTAACCCTTTGAAAAACTGCCATGAGAAGCCAAAAATACAACCATCCGCCAGGGGTCCCTTGGGATTTTTGCCTGCGACTCATTGGTTTCTTGTGCCCGTAGGATCTCCATGGGCTCGACTCGGTACGGATGAGTTGGTAAGAGTGTTTTTGTGGAGCCTTACGTCTGCGGCACCTAGGCTTGCACGTGGCTGTTTTGATCATTGACGCGCTGAGAAATCAGTATCGCCAATATGCAGCATGGTCATCCCACAGCAGGATGGCAGTTGGATCTATGCAACCACATCCCAGATCCTGTTGATTGCATCACCCTTGCTGCAAGCGCAGCTTCATTCTGCGAAGTCTGCTTTGTTGGTGTTGTTCTGTCTTGTTCTGCTTGATGCTTTGCTGCGGACAGGACCCCTAACCATCCGCTCAACCACAGGTTTGATTGGTCGGTTCATGCCTCGTTCCCTGCGCGGCAAGTCCAAGTCTGGGGTTGTAAACTGCACCGCACGCGCAGGCCAAGAAGGCCATCGAGGCCGTTTTTCTTGGGAATTCCGGGCCATGGGGCAGGGCCGAGTTGATTCAGAAGACAGGCAGCTGAATCAGCAGAATTGTGAGGACACTGTGGACTGCTTTTGGCTATTTTCTGACATTGCTCAGAACTGGGTGTTGTGCAGGATTGAAATCTTGACATATTCGGATTTTATGCGGCTTCCTCCAGTGAAAAGAGCTATCATGAGTTGCCAGACATAAGCGGCCACTCATTACATCCTTTCCCTGTTCGAGCTTTCCTAGAACCCGTCGCAAACTTGTATTCAACATGTACAAACGTGACAAGCCTCGGATGTTTTCCTTAGCTAAAATTCAAAAGCGATCCTTTTGCATTCCGTATGAGCACCCGTTGACGCTTGCCGCCTTTTCAACAAGAACTTGCAGCACCTGTTCTTGCGGTATTTTAGCTGGTAGGTCTCGCCTTTGTGTGCCTGACTGAATCACTGGGCGTTCAGAGTGTTGTCTTGTCGCGCATGAGCAGCCAGACGGGGGGCGCACGGCTCTGTGGGCTTCCCTACAAAGATCACCGGGGGAGTTCGGGGGAAGCATTCGTCGGAAGTCGTCAAAAAGGCCGGGAGGGCCGGGTTCTCTTGGCAGGCGATGCATGAGAAGCCGCAAGAGGGCGGGAAGCCTTTGCTAGTGACCATGGCGGACCGACAGCCTGGGGAAAAGGGCAAAGGCCTGGGCAAAGGAAAGGAGAAGGGAGGCAGGAGCACCGAAACTTTGCTGCCACGGGCGCCACGTGTTTGGATGTGCTTGCATTCTGGGTTGTTCAAAACTAGGCTTTTCCTCCCTCCGGATTGCGGATGTGTATCATGGATTTTATTGAAGCGTGGTAGCAAAAGGGTCAATAGTATGATTCACGGCCCTTTTGCTCCCTCAGTTGGGAGGGCATTGGTCCCTTGCAGGTGAGAAAGGCGCCAAGGGCAAAGGCCATTGGGAGTGAGTTGCGAGTTGACAGGGTTCATTGTGGGCGGGCGGATGCTTGTGTCTTATTCGGACAAGATCGGGACTGAAGCCTTCAAGACTGCTGAGTGTATGCGGCAGTAAAGGCTTTGCAACACACGATGCAACAAACTCACGCGGAGTGCTCGCTACAGCTTTGTAGGCAAAATGTCCGGACAAGCAACTTTATTCCTGGTAATTATTCCTGAACTGTGGTGTCAAAGCACGCGTTCCTGTTGTCGGGTTCGACAACAGGCAACTTTGAGAGTATTCTCTGCACTTCTCATTGAGGTCAATCGGTCACAGTCGTCTTGGAATCGTCAGAAGGCTAGCATTTTACAAGGGTCCAAGTACGTAATTATCTGCTACCTGGCTGAAAACTGCGACAAAAGGGGTTGTTCCGTGCTCTGCTCTGCTTAAACTGGATAGTGTCCTTTCGGTTTCCCTTTGACTTCAATCCATGCCAAAGGGACTTCAGCATTTGAGACATACCAAGATAGTGTGAGGTTGGTTCGGACAGGGTGTACAATCCTGCCAGCAACTGCCAGGCAAGTCCAAGGGCAAAGGAAAGGCTCCTGAGCAGGGCAGCTATCAGTGCCCAGACTGGAGCCGCCTATGGCTGTCTTCCCATGGATAGATGAGCGTTTGGGACACCATGGGAGGCGTAGAACATCCGCGGTATGTCCCGTGTGTCATGACAAGAGAAGGGTTGGATGAATGCGCAAGGATGTCGCACATGGCTCAGTCTGTTACAGCACTAGTAGGTCGGGTTTGATTCTTGAAGGCTTCTTCGGCAGCGGTTTGAACTAGTGCAGGCATGCTTGAGCTTGCAGTTCCTTTTGTCCCTTGGCAGCTGTGTCCCGATGTTGACAGGAACTAAACCATGGGTGATGCATGATGAACTATGCGCCAGAAAGGATGCGTAATGCGGAAAATCATGTTGAATCCCTTCCCGCAACACCTGGCAGGTATCCCTACCACCAGTACCCCTACAGCCCTGAAGCCATGCAGGTGGGGAGAGGCAAATTGCAGCACTGCAGCAAATAGAGAGCTGTTGGTGACCTGAGGGTGGCTGGTGTGCTCAAACGCCAACCTTTGGCTGCGTGAAACGGTGCTTCTTAGTTGCGAGGATGCGTGCCATCCCAGTTGGATCCAATTGGCTGAATGCAATGGACAACAATTCCCTTGCAGTCAATGCTGCTTCCGTTAATGCGCAAAGAGCACCCTTTTAACATGGCGCAACCGCCCAGCACTGCTTCGCATCCTTTGATGGTGCTACAGAGCTTGCCTCTATTTCGAAGCATGGCACCTGGCTTCTGACTGAGCAGAGATATCATATCCCTCGTTTCAGGTTTGTCAGACCCAAGATGCACTCAGAAGTGCCGTTGGATCAGTTGTCCGTCGTTCTTTTTGTGTGCTTGGTTTCTGGCACCCTGAGATGTTCAGGACTCAATCTAGTGTACCCTGGGCATGTTTGTATATCCTCAAGTGGGGGTGCGGCCAGCAGATTGGCGTAGCCTTGGAGTATACTTAGAAGATCCTTGAAATGTTCCGCTTTTCGGGTTACCTATCTCACTTCTGTGGCACGATCCCCTAGCACCCGAGATATTGTTGTGACTCTCGTCCTTCATTTGTTTATATCAGTGAGCAGTTTCAAGGAAGTGATGCAAGTGTCAGGATATTGACACATCACTCTGAGACGTTGTATTTTCAAATATGACCTCGGTTCAAGTCCACCACTTCTCCAGGAATCCGTCCAGGGCAAGGGGTGGATTCTCCATGGGTTTGGCCGCGCCAGTCGGCTTGGGCGCTGCATGCACAGCTCTACCAGCAGGCAGCCCTACAGGCGTGGGGTCGAAGCAGCAGGGAATGAGAAATGGAACGACCCCGAGAAAACCGTCCCTGAGTTGGTGTCCTGTTACTGGGGAATTTCACAACGGTTCGTTCTCACTCCCTATCGCACCAACAAGTTGCTTTCCGGCCAGACGGCAGGTTCCCCCAGTAGAAATGACGAAAATGACCAACTACATGAGAGTTCCTGTGCGGCAACGGCTGTAAGGGCATTTTTGCTGGACTCTGTGTGCTGCTGTTTTTGTTCAACGTCCACTTCAATCAAGAAAACTGCCTGAGTGCACAGACTGCACGGTATCATGGCGAAATGTCTCAGGCAAGAAGCCGATGCCAAATCCTTTCACGAGATATTCATACCATGAAGTGCCATGAATATCGAAGAAAGGCTCGCTCAGATGTGATTGTCCGGCTTACTCAGAGAGATGGCAGAGCTTCCAAGCTGGAGCTGGGAGAAGCTCGTAGGGGACTAGCAAAGGACATAGGCTCGCGATCAAATGGCCGCCTCGAGTAAGTGCATCGCCAGTCGGTAGCTTGGAGAGCCATTGGCGCAAGTGGGGGTTGATCAAAAGTTGCTTTACATGGGATCACCATCTTTGAAAACCACTAGAAAGATGATGTGTCCCACATGGGAAAAGGATCACTCCCCAAATTCAGGTTTCGTTGCCATGGTGCCAGGCACAGGCCTACTACAGCGGATATACTGGACAGGTGATCCCTAGCCAGGCGCGGAGAGGTGAGCTTCAGCTAGTTGAGTCCTTCAGAACTAGGGCTTCCTTTCGGCACTTTTGCTCTGGATTGACGGGCTCAAGCCAACCTCAGTTCGAAACCTGCGCAGCGTGAGGGGAACTTTGGGGAGAGGGCTGCCTTGAGCGATCGGCACCTCAGCTCCAGAATAACATTGCGGTGAACAATGAATGGTCAGTTGAACGGCCGGTTGCCTGTTGCCGCCGGCTTCCTGATCATGACTGTCAATCGCTATGTTCATGGAAGAGCAGTTTGACTGCCTGCATTCCTCTCCTCTTGCCAGGAGGAAAAAAAAAAAAAGGGGTTTGGTTGCTGCCACACCAAAGGAAAGTCGACAATAAAACTAGCGACTAGTCTTGCAGTTGTACGTTTTATCATGTGCAATAGGAATGAGAAGGCCTTGTGTGCCCGATGGTTTTCATGGCAAGGCTGCAATCTCCGCTGCATCAACCAAGGGCAAGCTGGGCCCTCGGAGTGCAGAAGCTGGACCAAGTGACGCCCAACTGACAGCTGCGGCAGGAGTTCAAAGCACATCCCGTTGCGCTTGCGGGCGGTTGGTCTGGATTGTTTGTCTGAGTGAACGAGCCGCTATTGTGGCCTAGGACGATATCCAAGAGGCAAGGATGCGCCAGGAGCGGATTTTGTAGTCATATTGAGTAGCACTGTTTAGTCAAATGAATCGCTTAGGCTTCAGCGCGTAGGCAGCTGTGTCACCCCTCACTTAGGCTTCTTGCGAAGGCATTTGTTGAACGAAACATGGTTCAATGCTGTTTGCCAAAAATGTGATCTTGGAGCCGGAGCTGCGAAAGTGTGCTTCGCGTAGTAGACTTGTTCTGAAATGTTGCGGTTTTCCAGCTGCCAAAGTGCACTTCGTTTAGTACCGTCGTCTGCATAGGCACCTGCAAGATAACTTGTGCATTCCCCCGACGTGCTTACAATAACCAGTTTCTTGTCGTTTGAGGGCGAGGAGTTTTTCCCCAAATTCCACTGCCTCAACATCTACTCAGAAGGCCACTGCTTGCGCTTGCCTCCGACCCTGCCCTCCTGCCGCTTGCACTAAGGGACGCACCGAAGCAGGCAGTGGCACCACCACCGCCCCCTGAGGGCAAGGAGTACATTGGCCAAGTGCCGCTTAGGCCGCAGACGTTTGTCAAGAGCCGGAGGTGGAAGGGACGGGACAGTAGCGCGGCAACGATTGGGAAAATGCGAAGAGCTTTGGTGATCTTTGTACAAACTTAGAGGCAGGGTCTTTGGGATGCAAGAGTCAACTGATTTGCACTTGGAAAGATCCGCAAAATGAGTTCATCCAATGCGATGTGAACTGACAGGAGCAATATGAAAAGCATGAACGCTCACGCTTGAATCTTAGCAAATTGCATTTCCATAATCCAAATGACCATCAAGAGGACAGTCTCAATTTTAAAGCAACGACATCACCTCGTGATCAGCCTCATGTGGCCTCCCAACATAGATCTTAGCCGGGGTGATGCAAACACAGCCGAGATGGCAACGGCTTCAGGAAATCCATCAGCGCAAAGAACGGCTACGGCTTCATCACCTGCGGTGCCCTTAGGGAGAGCTGTGCAACCCATGCTTCCCAGGCAAGCTTTGAGCTTGGGATAAGATCAGCCGGTCAAGGTGCCATTGTTGTCATATGTGTCTTCCGGGATCAAAAATTGAAGCCTTGTTTGTGAATGGGCAAGAAACTTAATCGCAGGAGTGCAAGCTGGTCTTTGCGTACATGTTGTGTGCCTCGGGGTTCGAGGGCTCCAATGTGGAGCTTGGTGACAAACCCATCCATCCTACCTACTTCCTCAGGGCTGCTACCGCAGTTTGCAGTCCAACATGTTCGGGTGGCATGTGCCCGTTTGGATTGATTTCTGAAGATGTTGAGAGTAGTTCTGGAATTTCCATGACTTTTGTTTATGGATTATGCATGCGTGCCTGTTGAATTTTGGTTTGTCATATTGAAACCGCTTCCAGTACTGAGTTTGAGGTGGGCAAAGCTACCGCGTCGCTTCTAAACTCGCACTCATTCGTCTCAGCATCGATGGAGCTTGTAGGTGTAGACTTTGTGATTCAGCCATCACACAGACCAACCCAAAGCAAAGCTTCAAAGGCCCAATTTTCTGGTCCCCAGGTGCGGAGACCAAGAGCGCCTACGAGCGGGACGTCTTCGTGGACGCAGCGCTGCTGAAGGATGTCGAGGTGAAAGCCAAGGACGGCCGTCGTTTGGGTGGTGAACTCGTCAATTGTTTGGCGGTTGAAAGGGAAACCAAACGGAAGACCGAGGCCAATTTGCGGGGTGCGATTCCTAAAATGGAGCCATCCCCAGGTGCCAATAGGAAACGCCCAAAGGGGACGTGGAGCTTTACGATGAGTTGAGTCGCCATCTATGTCTGACCATGTGATAATGTGGATAGTTGGAGTATTGTTACAGTGACAAGGCGGAGTGTGCATCGTCAAATACTTCAAACTTGATTTGAGGAGCAAAGACTCAGGCGAAACCCGCAGTGACCACAGGCTTTGATACAACTGTTCCGAGCGAAATCCGATCTGGTGCTTGCTTCTGATCTTGCTAGTATCTGCTGTTGGAGACTAGGTGGTGTACATCTTTTTACTCACTCATACGCTCGCTGGTCTGAATCCGTTGCAGGGAAGCCTGTTGCTACAAGCTGGTTGCCTGAGACCGCTCGAACTCTCGCCTTTTCTGGCGGGAACCACTTTTGTACATGTTTTGTCTGCAAAGAAAAACCAAGCCTTGATCTTCCAGGCCTTTGGACGAATTTCCATTTGGAGCCAAGATCAAGGAAGAAGACCAAAGAACGGGGCCACTTGCTGGCTGCTTTTTGGTGTCCAGTCGGCCAGTCTCCGGACTCACAGGTGTCCTTTACGGTGGAGCTCAGTGAGAAGGGGCACCCCAGAGCTGCGACAGCATCTCGGATCACAGAAAGACACCAACTCAAAAAATGGTCGACGTCGATGTTTGTCTTTTCCCCAAGGGTGTGTGATTGGGGTGGGGTGGCGGGGGTGTTTGGGGGTTCCCCTGAAGAAGGTGTGAAGAGTTGCCCATTTGCATCAGATTTTTGTGTGGTTGAAGAGTGGAACCGTGTTCCTGCTGCGCTGGATTCAGAGGGGATCCTTCTAACTTTGTGTCTGTGTGTGTGCGTCACTCGTCCAGACGGACTGTCAACTAGTGTGTGTGTGTGTGCTATCAAAGGGGAAGGCGCGCGCTTCCTTGTGTTTTCCATTTTAGGACATCTTCATCTCTATCTTGGCTTGGCAAAAACAGTTTCTCCTTCTGTTTTCAAAAGTGAGAATCGCTGATGCCAGGCAAAAGGAGTCGGATAGCTGTCGAGACCCTGAAAAGCTTAGATGCAATGGCTTCTGGTTTTGTGCTAGTTTCGTTGCTTAGTTGACCACAGGCCCGGAACAAGTCAAGAGAGTTGAAAGAACAACAAGTCGGTGCAGCCTAATGCACACTTTGCTCGTATACACAACATAGGCCCTGGATCCATGACATAAGCCGTGGCAAATGGTGTGATCCTGGGGAATGTTTGTTTAGTTCGAGTCCTGTCATGCAGTTGGAAATTCAAAGATGTTGCAAGAAGGCTTGCTGAATTCCCTGTGACTGTAGAATGCTGTGTGATGGGGTAGAGAGCCTTGAGGCATGTTGGCAGAAAATTATCGCACAATACGTGTCAGTATTCTTATTTTGCGATTGCAGGGGAGTGCTTTTCAGCTCGAGGTGAAGAAGATCGCGGATGCTGAAGATTAGGCGAGGCCCATATTTGTTTGTTTGTTTGAAAGAAGCGTAGGCGATTTAAGTTGTCGAACCACCTTGTCGCAAAGAGGGCTCTGGATGGACCACATTGCCCAGTGCGACTGACTTTGATTTCTACTGCGCTGGATGAACACCAGTGACCAGCGTCTCTCACTGTGAGAGACGCTGACACGGCACCACGATGCCCATCTGCAGGTCAGCTGGTCGATGTGGGCGTGCTCTTTGCTGGCAGCGCAACGCCTTTTGACTCGATCGATGTCGGGTGCCATCGGATGTATAGTGAAAGTTGCGTGGATACAGGTCTTGTGCTGTGACAGCGGCTTATGGGATTTAGGGGCACATTTTCAGCCGCGTGGCAATTGACTACGCGGAGCATCGCGAGAAAGGATGGAGTCACTGCCTTGGGTCTGCAGTAGCAAGCTTTCCAGTCAAACCGATTGTCTTCCCCACTTCAGTTCACGCCAAAATACACATTTTCTCACACACGTTCGTGTTAGTTCGTGAGGGTGCATGTATCCAGTGTCGTCTCAGCGCAAATATCAATTAACTTGGAATCTCGTGCAAAAAAGGAGAACAAACGTAGAAATTTCTCAGCGGCTGTGTTGTCCCAAACAACTCTGAGACATGTTCGCTTGACACCGCAACTTTGCTGTTTGCTGCGAACCAGAGGGCAGGCCTCTCATGATGGCTTCACAGCCGTGTGAACTGCACTTGCTTGATGCTATAGGACTTCATTTACTGTACTTAAGTTCCATGAGGGATGGGGCAAGGAGGTTGTAGTCGCCCAAGCACAACTTGCTTTCTGGCCGCGTGACTGCCAGAGATGCAGCAAGCACTAGGCTCGACCAGTCTTGGCAGGAACCTCAGTGAGACGACTTGGTCCAAAAGGATGTGCCTAGGGGAATCAAGAAAAAATGTGCCTAGGGGAATGCTACAAGTGATTCAAGCAGAATCCCCACAAATGAGCTGAGACTTCGAAACACCTGCAATGAAAGCCCCTCCAAGCACAGCAAAGCACTGTCTCTGGGTTTCTCTTCAACACGCCACCCTACTTTTCATGTGTCCCCTTGTAGGGATGGGTGTGTGTGGCCTTCCAACCTTCTCCAACAATTCGCCGGCGCGGCGGCGCGCCCAGAGCAAGGTAAAGGCAAGCTGCCAGACCCGAACGTCCGGAGGTTGATGTTCCCTGGAGGAGTTCACTCGCATACAATTCACTAACACTGGCGTCCCCAAAAGATGAATGTGAGAGTTTAGGACTTGAGCTGTGGAAAATTCAGAAGTGGATCCAGGTAAAGCCAACCAGCCTGAAGGTTATCGAAGCTTGCTTTTTGGCGGCTCCATATTTGGCAAAAAGTGCTGGCTGGCGCCTTGTCTTGACCGGTCCAGTTCTTTGCGGGTTAGTTGGTCTTCCGCGACCGCGGCCATTGACTGCGTGCGGACCATCTCTGATCTCCGGCCAGCAGCTTTGAAGCAGTGAGAGGTGCACGGCATTCTCGAAGAAATATGCACAAGAGATGAAGTTCTGGGGTTACAGATGCCAGGAATACAACAACTTCATGATAGATGCCAAGAGAGAGTGGGCAATTCATTTGAGCGGTTCTTGTGCACTTGCGTCGCTGCATGCCTTGGCACACGACACAAATCTGTTCGGGTTTCGGGACTGAATATTCTATCAGATCCCGGGACGGAATGACATGGTGCCAGACTACTTCGCTTCTTGCCACCAGTGGCCAAACACACATCTGTTGCATTTAACAAATGTGAGTCTCAACGCTCGTTTCGGGTACTATGAAGTGGAACTCAGAGTGCTGGCATTTGTGTTTGTTCCCATGTTCCTAGGTCGCACCAAGTTTACCAGGCTGCTGTACGGAGTCCAAAGCGAAAAGGCAGCACATAGATGTTTGTGGTGGGTGTTGTGAATTGCAGTGCAAGTAGCACGTGCCTCAGTGCCTCCCGCTGCTTTCTCTCAAAGATTGGTGGGCCTTTTGGGATTGACAGACATTTGGAAAATCATCCTGAGACCATAAGAGCCAATGAGAAGATACGATTAAAAAAAGAAGATATGTGCGAACAATCGAATTATTTGAACATGGAACTATATTAATTATAACTAAAAGCATGATAGAACCACCTATTATTATTTCTCACCATAATAATGGGAATGACAAGACTCAAATCCGAGCTAAACGTTTATCGTACCAAAGATGTAACAACCTAAATTATAATTTATGTCGACGATTTCTTTTTTCTTTGGCGAGTAATATTTTGTCGATAAAATTCCTAACGATTTCTAATAGTATTTCTTTTTGAAATAAATAGGAATGATGATATTAGGATTAAAAATGTTATATAAGGGAAACAGTATTTCATGATTATATTAATATTATTTTAGAGGTGTTTGATATGATTATTTCTAAATTAGTAAATTGATATATTAATGCTAAAGATAATTAATATTGAAAATAATATATTATTAGATTAATAATAATATATATGATATGGATGTTTGATAAAATAATTTAATGGTTTTAAATATATGATTAGATATTAATTTTATATTAAATGATTTAATATATGATTAAATATAATTTGAAAATTATTTTTTGAAATAAAATATATAATTGGGGTATTAATATAGATTTAATAGGATTTTGTATAAAGAAAATAATATATTGAAATGACATATTTAATATTTAACATAAACATATTAATATATTAAAGATTAAATTAGATAATGAATATTTAATTTATTTTTATGTATTTTATATTTTTATTATGAATTAATATGGAATTTTGAAAAATGGTTGAGATAGAATTGATAAGGATATTATTGATTTGTATTTTTGGTGTGTGTATATATATGTGTTTATTATTTGTTTTTTATTTTGATTTGTGTTTTTGTTTTTGTTATTTTGATTTGTGTTTTTGTTTGTGATTTTTTGGGGGGGTTGTGCTTGTATTTTATATTGTTGTTTTGTTTTTGTTGTATTGTATATAGTATTTTAGATTTTGTGGGTATATGTATGTTTGTATTGTTATTGATTTATATATTTATGTTATTAGTTTTTATTAATATGAAATATCTATATATATTATTATTTATTTTGATTTGTTTTGTTTTCCTCTTTTTTTGTTTGTAAATTATATATGGTTTTGATTTTATTTGGAATTGATTTTTGGCATATGATTTTAATTTTAAGAGTCGTGCTGATCGTGCTATGGCTTCGAGCTAGTAAAGAGGAATACCGAATTGTGGTCGGCTGTAAGCCCCTTACAATGATATGAAAAGCCTTAACAATTTTTACGAATTTTATAGGATTTCTTTGGTGTAAGTATATAATATTTTAAGAAATAAATAATTTTATATGTTATTTTTCTTCCTAGATTGGTATTTGTGTCCATTTTTTTGGTTTTTTTCCCATTGTGTTTATGTTGGTTTTATGTTGATTCGTTGGTTCCTAGAATTGGATATTCTTTATTAATAATTTTATATATTAGGAATATTATTAATACATAAAATTATATTCTTAATTTGATGTTTATTTAATATAATAAATAAGACGCATTTCCTAAATTGATTTCCATTTAATAAATTTAACCCTAATTCGATGATATCATATAGCTCTCCCAATTAATTTTATAGATTTCTGTGTCGTTATATAATATATTTCTGTATTTTAAAATTCAATTTCTTCATTTTGATTTATGAACAAAAGATCTTCATATTATTTTCTATTAATATTCGGGTCGTGAATCCGTGCTAAGCCGCACCGAACCGTGCTAACGAAATCGAGCCGCGTTAATCCGCACTAAAGCACGCTATACTCCGCAATAAGTCGCACAAGCCGTGCTAATCCGCATTGAGCCGTATTAGTTAATGTGGAACTAAGCTGCATTAATCGGCATTGATTCGTCACGAGCTGCACGGAACCGCGCTACTCCGCGCAAGTTTCCGGAAGCGGCCGCGCGTTTCGCTGCGCAGGACGCTACTCTGCACTGAGAAGCTTGGAGCTGAACTGTTGCGCGCTTAGAGACGCCATTAAACCACACGAGGCCGCACTGTTCTGCGTTGGGACGCTCTGATTTGAAGGAATCCATACTGATCTGCGTCGGATTGCGCTCTGCGCTAATCGCTGCGCTAATCCGCATTGAGCTACGCTGTTACGCGCTAACCGGTGTCGACCCGCATGGAATCCATATATTTCCGCATAAACTCACATTAATCCGTATCGCTCCGCAATAATCGCTTTTGATCCGCATTCAGCCCTAGTACTTAAATCCGAATCGAAAACGATAAAATACGGAGTTTAGGAAGGATCTGGAAATTCATAAATCGTATCGACAACGATCCGCATTAATCCGCGCTAAGCCGCATTAATCCGCAATGAGCCTGCGTCACAATAATCCATATGGAGCCGAACTATTCCGCACTTAGGCGGCGCTTTAAATTCGCTCAGCCGCCTTAAACCGCGCTAATTTGCGTTAACCCAATTGATTTATGTTAAGCCATAGAATTGTATTGCCTTATAATTATATATCAAATTTATTTATGTTATTCTATATTAATTTTAAATTTTAATATATTAATATATATCTAGCAATCAACATATTAATATAATTATTAATAATATATTATATAATAAACATTTATTCCAATATTATATATAAATTTTAAATTTATATTATAATCATATAATACATTTAATAATTAATTATATATTATATTATTAATGATATATATATATGCTTAATATATATATATTTAAATATTAAAATTTATTATTTATTAAATATATATTTAATTATATATTTCTAAAATTTAAACAAAACAATATAATAGTATTTAATTTTAAATTATATTAATATAAAATATTAATATTATAAATATATTCTTAAATCCAAATATATTTAAAATAATTATGTTTTTATAATTAATAGTTAAACTATTTATATATATATATATATTTAAAAGAATATATATCGCCAAAATATATTTATAATATAATTTATATATTTCTGATTTTATTTGGAATTGATTTTTGGGATATGATTTTAATTATAATTTTTAATTTTAGAGTCGTGTCGATCGTGCTATGGCTTCGAGCTAAAAAGGAATGCCGAATTGTGGCCGGCTGCAAGCCCCCTACAATGATACGAAAAGCCTTAACAATTTTCACGAATTTTATAGGATTTCTTTGGTGTAAATATATAATATTTTAAGAAATAAATGATTTTATTTGTTATGTTTCTTCCTAAATTGGTATTTGTGTCCATTTTTTTCATTGTGTTTATGTTGGCTATATGTCGATTCGTTGGTTCCTAGAATTGGAAATTCTTCATTAATAATTTCACATATCATAAATGTTATTAATATATAAAATGATTTTCCTAATTTGTTTTCATTTAATAAAATATATA